TCAGAAGCTGAAATATTTTGGTCATATCAAGCGCCACGATGGATTGGAATAAGAATTAAAGCAGAAGGCATGCTAACAGGAAGGAGGGGCAGGGGCCGACTGACATGAAGATGGGCACAGGGTATAAGTGACTCCTTGTGTGTGAAGGTGCATGCGGCAGGAAAACTGGCGAGAGACCGAGTTTCTCTCAGGCAGTCTGTGATGAGAGCGACGTTCTGCAAAGGACCTGCTATATGATGATGATGATTAATATTATAGAAGCTGTCTTTTCCAACCACCCACCCCTCCTTCCCCTTTCTCTTCTCCCCCCCCCCTCCCCCACAGCAAGGCTGTTGAGATGTTAAAGATTATTCATATAGTAAATCATATACTTTGAAACTACATCAATAAAAGTGGCTTGTTAATTAAATGATGAATTAATAATAGACATCACAGCGCTCGGCACACGCCTATATGCGCTCCGTCCCTGTCTTCAACAGCAAGCGAAGAGTTTCAATTCCGATGATACCAGTAACTATCTGATTGTATATCCGTCTTGCCTTTTCCTTGAGAGTTGAGCGTCGACCAGATTCCCTATTACCGCCTTGTAGCGCCATTCTCCTCACACCATTATGATCGGTCTGTGCCCCTGCACTGTTCACTCGCTCCTAAAAGGACCCTTACAACATCAAGCTTGTCATCCATCAATTCACCATCAAGTTTTGCAGAACTGACCAGACTATCTGCCTGTTCGTTTCCCAGCACACAGAGATGAAATATTTAATGGACGCAATAAAACAGTTTGAAATGGAGTGTTATAGCATAACGCATATAGCGTTATCACCATTATCAAACGCCGATTCTTCTATACAAATATGATTGTAGAGTTCTTTGCCAGCATTCGCAGCAAAGTAGCTTATCAGTCCGCCTACGGGTTAATCCGTCGCCGGTCGGTGGTTAAGGAGGAAGTAGTGATCGTATCAACACTACAGGGATCCTTCTAAGAGGTACTTGACATGCAGCCCCAGGTGCAAATAACATAGACTTTACACGCAGCCTGGCTACCAGTGGTAGGCTGAGCGTAGGCGGGTTTTTATTCCTAAGATGGAAATGGAACTGGAATCTCATATCCCAGATGCCCCAACGGCTAAAATGGATACTTTACAACTAGTTGGATAAAAAAAGGTAAGAGGGAGACAATCAAATGTACCTGAAGATACTCTAACCTCCTCTGAATTAAATCCCCTAGTTCTTGAAGTCTTTGTTTTCTGTAAACGTCTGCTTTGTTGGCGGTCCGGAGCTTTTCAAAGTCACCAAACAGGCTTCTGATAGAAATAAAATGCAAACATTTATAAACGATAAAGGCACTTTCAGTAACAAAAATAACTAAATCAATACCCAAATAAAATGTAAATAACTGGCATCTGTTCTTATTTATTGAGACGTTTGAGAGTTAAAGAGAGAAAAGATTTAAATGCAATAAAACTATCGATGTACTATCTTCTGAAGTAAATATGTCTGTGCTGGCTGGGTCATGTCTCTCGCATGGAGGATGGGGGTATTCAAAAGAACCTTATGTATGGTAAACTGAAAACAGGGTGGAGGCTACTTTAAAAGGACACATGCAAACGTGACCTGAGAGATACTAACATAGGCACACAGACTTGTGAAGAACCAGCTGCAGATCGACAACTTTGGCGACAAAAAGTGAAAGACAGATTATCGCAATTTGAAGGAAACCAAAGGAAGCGAGCTGTAGAGAGGTGATGCCAAAGAGACAATCCGCCTCATGGTTATGAAGTATCTACATTTTGTGTGTGTATCCTATGAGGCAGAGAGACTTCCACTCCCACGTCAGACTTTACAGTCACAGCAGATGGATTCAACAGTCTGCATACAAATAAGTCAATTCTGTGAAACGGATGCGCACGCAACACTCAGGTTCAGGAACAATTTTAAAGTCCAAAGGGGAATAAACAACCAGAACTTTCCGTCGGAGTTTCCAGCCGATGAACGGAAAGAAGAAGAAGAAGAAGAAGAAGAAGAAGAAGAAGAAGAAGAAGAAGAAGAAGAAGAAGAAGAAGAAGAAGAAGAAGAAGAAGAAGAAGAAGAAGAAGAAGAAGAAGAAGAAGAAGAAGAAGAAGAAGAAGAAGAAGAAGAAGAAGAAGAAGAAGAAGAAGAAGAAGAAGAAGAAGAAGAAGAAGAAGAAGAAGAAGAAGAAGAAGAAGAAGAAGAAGAAGAAGAAGAAGAAGAAGAAGAAGAAGAAGGAAAAAGAAGAAAAAGGAAAAAGAAGAAAAAGAAGAAGAAGTAGAAGATCCCATTCTGATAACATACAGTAATACCCACCGTTTGTATCCTTGCAGACTTTCTCTCAGTTCCGGTATCTTAAGTGGCATCTGACCTTTTTCTGTATCTGATTTACCCAAAACGGAGTCGAGAAAATACCAGAGTTCTGTCATTGTATTTTCTGCTTTTCGTTTTGCGTGCTCCATTTCATACGTCAATGAATTTGACGACGACTCTGTTTTAGAACACCATGAGTAAATATTAAATGTTGCAAGAATGATTGTAGATTTCTAGAATACCATTTTCTAGAACTAAAGGCGGAAAATAGAAACATTGTTATACAAAAACTGTCAGTGTTAGGAATAAATCGAGTACCTATTTCAGTCTTAACCGCTGTTGGTAAGGGTTACTTGTGTATTCCATGATTCTTTTAGATTGTTCTGATTTCACTAGGCAGGTTTAGGTTTTGTAGTTTGCCATTGCTAAAAGAACTGTCGGCTCTCGAAACCACTATCGTGACCAACGGAAAGCGGTCTGTTGTAAAATCGCACGCTGCTGGGATCGAACCCAGTACTTTCGATTTACGATGGGCGTCAGCAGTACATAAGCAGATGTTGGAAAGGGTAATCAGTTAAAACCTGTCTTTTTGGTTTAGGTTTAAACCAATGAAATGTATACAATTAGGTAAGATTCTTTGGCCATCTTGAACTGTTCTATCCCTCTGATCCTGCATAAGTAAACCAAAAGTTAAGGTCCCTTTACAAGCCACTAGGGCATCAGCCTTCATTAGATTATGCGACGAACTTTCCAAAGCTGAACCTGGTACCTATTTAAGATTTGGTCGACCAGGGGGCCAAGGTTAATTTTGAAACAAATGTCCGACTCCGTCAAGACTTGAACTCAGTTACTGTATGTTCTTTGTTTTTTCCTCGTCCTCAAGACCATGTTGTGTGGGGTTGGTAGTCATGTCTATCTACAATATTCTGTCTCATGTACTTTCGGTCAACTCTGACACAGACGCTCTGTCATACCATGCTGTCAGACTGTCTTCTCTCTCCGTTTCTCTCGGGCTCAGATTTTTCTACTGTCACGATGTACTTCAATTTACCCTTTGTCCTCACGTGACCATAAAATGTAGATTGTCTCATTCTGCTGTAGACAATCAGTTCTCTTCGTGAGTCAATTTCTTTCAAGACACAATTACTCGTTTTATATGTCGAAGGTGTTAACATAATTCCTAGATAAAACCACATTTCCGTAGCTTCCAAACATTCTTTCACTAAACTACCAACTGTCCACGATTGAATTTTGTATACCAGGAAAGGATTTAAATAGCGTTAAAGAATTATCTTTCTCGTCTCATTTGAAACAGAGAGAGTGCACAGAATAGTTTTCATTGTGTAAAATTCTACCTTTAATTGAGCTTATCTACATATAACTTCTTTATACATGTTCTATCTGATGTTTTCAATTGCGCCCAGAAACGTTTAATTTTCTTGAGGTTTGTCCCATTTACATTGACGTGGCATTTTGGAGGTTCCATTTTCTTTGTAATTACCATGAATTCTGTTTTTCTGTTGTTCAAACTAAGACTCTTGTTTTAATTTTCTGTTATAATTATGTCCATCATTAAATGCAGTTTTTTTCGGCGTTGTAAACTGTATTGTCAGCCTATCGCAGGTTGATAAAAAATGCCTACCAAACAATATTCCTGGCATACCATGCATGGATCTAATCACTATTTCACTGTACAATTTGAGTAAATCAGCTGATAGTATGTATACATTCCTGTCTAACGCCTTGTTTAATGTTTTGAAAAGTTCTAACTGTGTTGTCAATTCTTATGGCTGCTTCTTCTTCTCAGTATATTTGATTATTCTCAGACCGTTAACTACAAAATTATAATATTTTCTTCACATTTTACTTCATCACATGCTTTAGTGTATGTAATCAATAAAGCACAAATACAGAACTATGTTCATTTTGATTATTCTTTCTGAACGAGTTCTCAAGATAAATTGGCGTTAGGGGTACACAGTTTGTTACTTTTTAGGGGTACACAAATTATAATTGCGGGAAAAAAAAATCAAATAAATTGGCTGATTTAATAATACAGTAGCACATTTGCAATTGTAAATTGAAAACAAAAGCACAAGGATAAATAAAATCAAAGTCAACAAGGCAAAAATTAACTTTAATCCGTTCAGGGGATTTCAAGGTATTTGTTAAAGTTTGAGGGTACGACTTTTAGAACGGACTATAGCTACTACAAAACCACATGGGTAGAAAGCATTTGAAAATCGCACTTAACCTCCCTTACCGGGTTATGCCGGCGTAGAGGGAAATGAGCGAGCGGACCAACTGGCAAGCATTGCACTAAGGCATGTGGGAAGAAGCATAGACAGAGCAGATATCGTCAACGCTGTACTGACTGGACTTGTGGATAATGAGGAATCATTGACACTAACACGATTGCGTGACATGGAAGTAAAGCATAGTAAAGCACACCTATGCTGTCTTAGAGGCCGAGATAGGTGACAATATAACCTGATTCTCCTGGGAACAATTAGTAGAAGAACTTTGGAGTGGCTGCTGCATCGGAGGAGAGAGCACGCATGGGAATGCCCAATGTGCAGTCACGTTGAATGTGATAACATATAATAAGACCACAGATAACCAAGAGCAGAATACTCACCGTTTCGTGGAGACAGTTCTGATGTCCGGTTGTTTCTAAGAGGGGAGAAAAAAAATAAGTTTGACCTATGCAGTTCTTCACTTATTTCTTAACATAGCAAAAACAAAGATAATGCATACAAACAAAACTGCCATGGAGAAGGAAATGTATGTTAATGAGGAAAGATTGGAAGTGGTGGAAAATTTCGAATATCTTGGGTCACTGGTTACCAACAATGGTGACACAATGAAAGAAATTAAACGGCGACTATCAATTGCTCTTCAAAGACTAAAACAACTGAATAAATTATGGAATTGTACAGATAGAATTACAAAGGTCAGATTTTTAAGAGCATGCATCTTTCCCATTGCAACATACGCCTGTGAGACCTGGACACTTACTAAACAAGCGGAAAAGCGCATAAATGCATTTGAATATAAATGTTACAGACAAGTTCTAAGAATATCTTGGGTAAAGAAAAGAACAAATGCATCCATACTTCAAGAGCTGAATATTGAAGAGGGTTGGCTAGTAAAGACAATAAAACAAAGAAAATTGAAATATTTTGGTCACTTGAAACGTCATGGAAGTCTAGAGAGAACAATAATGGAGGGGTATATGCCTGGGAAGAGAGGAAGAGGAAGGCCAAGGAGAAGATGGGTGCAGGATGTGGCAGATGATCTCCAGATGGGTGTATCAGACGCAGGACATCTTGCTCATGATAGGAAGGTTTTCCGGAGGGTTGTTATGGCAGCGAGGTTCCGCGAGGGACATGCTACTGAATGAATGAATGAATGCAGTTCTTCAGGCCAAGAACGTTGCTTGAAATGTCATATCTTACAGTAAATAACAGGCAGTTGTTAAGAAATGAACCATTTCCCAAACATTTAAAGGACAGTGACGTCCTTTGTTTCTGAGAAAGGAACAAGCAGGTTTTCGACCTACAAGAAGCTGATTTGATCAAACATTTACTCTGAGACTGTTTTGTTTGTTTGAGGAATTTGTTAAAAAGCAGCTGCATATTATTTTCAATTGGAGTGACTTTAAGAAGGTTTTAATAGTTAACATAGAACATCTCTACAGGAAATTTCGGAGTGCTATGGTCTCATCCTCATCATGTAGCAGGTCTTTTGCAGAACGTCGCTCTCACCACGGTCTGTCTGAAAGAAACTCGGTCTCTTGCCAGCTCTCCCGCCTCATGCACATTCATACTCAAGGAGTCACTTAAATCCTGTGCCCATATTCATATCGTTCGGCCCCTGCCCCTCCTTCCTGGTTCCATACTTTCTGATATAATTGTTTTTTTAATCCGTCGTGGCGCTTGATATGACCAAAATATTCCAGCTTCCAAGACAGGATGCTGTTTATTAGCCAATCTTCGTTGATGTTCAGAACTTTCAAGATGTCAGTATTTCTCCTCTTTTTCGTCCAAGATATTCTGAGAATCTTTCTATGGTATTTCAGCTCAAAAGCCCCTGTTCTCTTTCTTAAGGACTGGGAGATACTCTATGACTCACAATCGTATGTTGCTACATTAAAGATGCAAGCTCTCAAAAGTCTAATTTTGAACTCCTTGCTGGTGCTTAACCATAGACTTTTTAGACTGTTTATTCTTTGTGTTGGTATGGCCATCCTTTTATTAATTTCTGTCAAACAGTCTCCATTGCTATTTGTCATAGAGCCTATATATTCAAAGTATGGTACACTAATGAAAAAAAAATATTACAGAGGCAATGTATAATGGTTCAGAGTGGGCAATGCACACTGTCAATGGTTTAGGTGACTAGGTTGAAGTTGATACTAGAGTAAAACGGATGCATTTTATCTCCTCTTGTTTTTGGCGTAACTATTGCCTAAGTGATGAGAAAATGGTTTTTGAAACACCGGCATTGACTGGGTGGAGAACACACAGTTGGAAGTTCTTGATTTTGGTGGTGAACTTGTTAAAATAGCAAAGTAAAACAGGCGATTTAACAATAAGCATCAAGGTTTGGCCAAAAAAAAAAAAAGTTATCATAAAAAAAAAAAATACACATATAATGAAGAAATAACAGATCAATTAAGAGTGACACTAAAGACTAAAGTAATTACAGTTACAAATCCATTTAAGTGAAAGATCAATTTACTTTTTTAGGTGGTAATTTGGATAGTGAAGGAACACAAACAAACACACACACACACACACACACACACACACACACACACGAATAATAATTAAGACAAGCACTGGCAAGGCAGCAGCTGCCAACAGTTTGAAAAAAATATGGAACTCTTTATTGAATAGTTTTAAAACCGAGTTATGTATTTTCACTTCTTACGTTATTTCACTTTAAAATATGCCAGTGAAAGATGGAGAGCAGCTGAGGACATGGAACACAAGTTAAATAAGGTAGAGATAACTTGTCACTCCTTTAGACGCATCGGGTATATTGAAAGAGTGCCCATATTTTACAGACCATCGGCACTAGGTGGGTAATGTGTTCAGATTACCCCGGCCGTCTCTGCTTCCCCAGAACATACATCCTGGTACCCATTTTAGGCTAGGTCGGGCTGTGACGCCC